ACAGCCTTATTTTTATTTAATACCTGCAGTGATCCAAATTACCAATACATCTAATATTTTTGAAAATACTGAATTATACAAACAAGGCTATAAAAAATGTCATTAAAATAAAAGGTTTCAGGTTTGTATGCAACACACAATCTAGGCTAGAAGGTAACACGATTGATAATTACAGGCAAACATGATTTTGTATAAACTATTTAAATGTATATACCATTTCTTAGGTAGTTTCTCATAATTAGTATTATAAAATTAAATTCAATTGGTTAATCCATTTTTCCGATTCAGACTTTTAAAGTGAAAAACCATTTATCTCTTTATTTTTATCAAACGTTTATTGTACATTTCCATAATGATGTAGTTATCTTATCAGAATATTCAAATTTTTCCTTTTAGCGGGTTTTGTGGGAAATAAAAAATTTACAAATTTTTTGCTTACTTCTTACTTCATAGTATTTACAGTTGTGTACAAAATAGATTATTTTGAACTACAATGGTCTTAGACATTATAACAAAATATAAAACAAATTAGATTCGTAAAACTTTGTTATATTTAAATAAAACAACAACTTTAAAAATTCTTCTATTTACCTTGCCTTAAAGAAGTTTTTGGGGAACAATCGTTGAGTTGACACATATACTTTCAATTTATTAATGTCACAGTTCTTAACTAAACAGATTTTTTTAATGAGCACAAATAAACTAATGACGGAAGACGGAATAACAGTTTGTTTGATTTGGTAAAGTGTTATCAGAATGTTTTTGTTATGTACCAGATTTGTCTGAAAAATTTATAAGATTCCTTAAATGTACCAGATTTTTCGAATTCTAGTTGCAGTGACATCTATTTCATTGAATAGAAAAAATGTGGGTCTTTATTGATAACGAACGCAAAGAATGTACTACATCTAGTACAATTCTGAATTGTACTAGACTGGCAATACTGGTTTGGCAATCTTGTTTGTGAGCGGCGCGCCAATTAATTATGTTTCTTTGCAGTTTGAAGGATCTGTTGGCGTGTTGTCTTCTCTTTTTAGCTATATGCATTCGTCAAATCGTCTCACTCTTGTTAGGCTCACTCATCATAATGCGCTACAGACATAGTATATTTAGGTATACTGTGCCCCAGAGACACGATCAGCCAGAGGGCAATGATATATAGATTAACACGTATAAAAATAAAAATATTAATATTTTTATGTAATTTTAAAATAATGTGTTTTTATAAAATTTACCTGGGTGTTAACTGCACAAATGAACCAATGGAGAAACCGCCCCTGGTAAGGGGCCCAACCACTTTATATTCCTTCAGGTAAAAATCGTACATTGAAGAAAGTTATTTCATCAAATGACAAATACTGTTATTATATACAATTCTGTTTTCGTAATTCTAGAAATGTCCATCACTTGCAAAATATCATCCAAAAGACCACATCTTCGATTTATTTTAGTAACAGTAAGAGTATTTCGGAGGTAAAGACACTTTTTACTCAGATATGTTATCTTGAATAGGTACTTTAATTACTTCTGAAGTCAAATGTCCTTATTTCCTTCTTTAAAATTATTTGTAACTAATTTTTACTAAAAACTTGCTATAGCAAACCTTTTTTTCAATAATTTAACGTTCTTTTCTAAAGCCTTTTGATTTTTTGATCGTGGTTGTGTTTTATGCCTGTGAAAAACCATTTTATCTGCTTTTAAATGTAGGATAGGCAAAGCTGCAAATAATTTAATAATTGTGAATAGAATAATATTCTAATATCTTACCATAAACCTTAATTTCAGTTTAGGTTCAGTCCCCATGTTTCGCGTCCGAATATCATGTATAGATTTTATAAAATGAACATTGCATATTTGCAAACTTTTAAAATTGATCTAATGTTTTCTAAAACAACATTGCATCCATATTTTTTTGTAAATGGAGGCCTTTTGGAAAGAGGAAAAATAATATTCTTTCTTCCATGATTATTGTAAAACTTGTGTTTGCAAGAGCAAAACTACAGCTCGCTACAGACATGATAAAATTTCAAATTATTTCAGGTTATGAATAAAATATGGTCCGAAATCGGCTCAAAGGTCGTGCCTTAACACTATTTGTTTGAGTTGTATATTTATTTCAAGTCGATACCCCAATATTACCTAGTAAATTGTTACCACTATTATCTACTACCTTTTACATGTTAGGTACTAGTTATTTTTTATCTAATTATCTGTTACCTATCACCTGTTACTCATTACCTTTTACCTATCAACAAAGAATCTTATTCTCACTGCAGATTTGATTATTTTTTTGAAAAATTACCCACTCCTTACAAAAGTAGCCTTGTTCTTCTTAAGAATAAGTTGTCCAGTCGCATTTGTTTAAATATATGCACCGTACCACCGACGTTAGAGCCTCGTAAATGTATTAGACCGTCAGATAGTGACAGGTTTAGGTGCCCCATTTTCGCATACAAGCCACGAGGAGGGTTGAAAAGTACATCGATTTTAAGTAGAATGAAAGTAAATTTACAAGTGGCTCCTGGGGATAACATATGAAAAATTAAAACCAACAAAAATAAAAGGTTATTTGTTGGCCATATTTCCACGCAAGCCGTTTTCACTATATGATTAATTAATAGAACTAGGCTTCGGAAAATCAAAAGCTTTATTATTGCAAGTGGCTAAAGGGTTGAAATACGGGCGTAATCTTCTAAGGAAAAATCCAGATTTCACTAGATTTTTCCACACAAGCCCATCGAATGTATGAAAATGTACATCGTCACTAGTCCGAAAAATATATTTTCTTGAATGACCTGAATGTATCAGTGCATTTTGGGATCGGAAAATTTTTCTGATAAGGAAAATCGAATTTTCCATGTGTTATCCCCAAGAGCCACTCGTAAATTTTCTTTTATTCTACTTAACATCGACGTACTTTTCAACCCTCTTCAAAGATTGTATGCGAAAATGGGGCACCTAAATCGGTCACTACCTGACGGTCTATATACTTGTAACTGTATGTTGCTGGTTCTATTTTTTTAATTCGGGATAGTTTCGCCCCCCTCCTCCCCCGTATAAGTGCCACTGACTTCAGAATATCTGACCTACCTCTTTTTTACACCCAGTATTTTGCTACACTGATATAAAGGTTACTCTTATTTTAATGGTCTAAATGAGAAAAACATCAAAACATTTCCATAAATAATATTTTCTAAACTAAAAATAAAAATTTATTCGACAAAGATAAAGAATATATTTTCCTGTCTATAGTCTCGCAATGGAACATTTTAAATATTCATATTAATTTAAAATATTATTCAAATGACAAAAAGAAAAAAAAGCTTTTCTTTTAACATGTAACTTTCTATAGAATTTTATTGCTGCGATAGTTACGGGTAACTCCAATTTGCCTATGGGGTTTTAGCTCTGAAATATTCCTACCACAAGTAGTAAGAACACTTCTGGCTTTTCTATTTGTTCCTAATATTACGCAAGCGCAACAATTTGATTTGTAAATATTAAATATAAACGTAGATCAAATTAAGAAACAATAAAAATGTTCCACAAGATTTGATTGTTTAGTTTGCTCTTTAATAAAATCTTTCGATCAGTTTAAGAAGGTTGCGATAATTGCGATTAATTCTTAAGAATGAAGAATAATCATGACAATGTCTGCGACTGCACAAGCTCAAATTTTGATGGGATGCTTTCTTTGATGAGTCCAGAAGATAGCTGGGTGGCTAAATTGCAAATAATTAACCGTTTCTGTAGAGGTCTATATGTAATATCCGTATCTGGCCGTTTGTCAAACAGTATAGTGCGTGAAATGAAGAGCAGAGATACCAGTCAAAGATAATGTTATAATTCGATTTATGTGATTTGTAAGATAATTTGATTTTTAAGACAATTCAATTGAAATTAATTCCTTTTGTATGACTGAACAATAAAGTTATGTTTGCTTGAAGCAGTGAAAGCATATCGAGCACCCTTCACCAGAAACAACATCACGAATTACTAGAGCTCACGTCCGTGCGGAGTTGTATCATTGTCATTGATGTAAATATCAAGGCAAGTGAGACTAAAAATTACCACCAGGGCTCTGGTTGGTGTGGTTCTTAGGGCTCTGATATATTCAATTCTGATCCTAATCTTTGAATTTGTTCTAGTTTGTGGAAGCTGTTAATTTTTGGATGTTTGATACCCAAAAAACTGCACCATATGTTAGCATAGATCTTATGATGGCCGTGTAAGTCCATTTGACGACTCTGTAGGCGAGACAACAGTTACTGTCAAAGGTGAGACCTAGGTACTTCACGTCTTTTCCAAAGTTTAGTTTTATGTTTAAGGGCTCTGGATGTTTTAATTCAATTTTCATCCTTTTCTTGTGAAAAGAACCATTTCGTTTTTTTGTGATTGTTAGACAGTGAATGGGCCCTATATCCACTGTTTTATAATTTTGGGATTTGCTTACATTCTTTTGAAAATTATGTTCTCAAAATTTTATATTTGCAAAATGAACAGGTCATCTGCATAAGCGATGATGTAGTTACCGTTATTATTGAAGCGGCTGGTGAGGATATCGAAGGCCATGTTCTACAGTAGAGGTGATAGTATTCCTCCTTATGGATATCCCCTTGCAGCCTAGTTAAGTTTTTCAACGATAATGGCTGCAGCGTATTCTTATGGTAAACAAACTGATATGTAGCTGGTTCTCGGATTTAATAAAATAAATTGTCAAAGAAGCGTGAGAGTAATCGTCACATGCAGAATCATCTGACATTTGCAAGAAGATACACCATTCATAATGGATTGTGGACGCCTTCGAAATAACAGACACTGCAGAACATGCAGATAACTTTTTAGTGTAGGATCCATCTGCACATTCCACACAATGGAGTCACGTTGAACAATTTTTATGAATTCATTTAAATAATTTTGGTTATTTTGTTTTAGGAAAACCCAAAAAATCCTCAAAATATGAAAGAATCATAATTAATACGATAAGAAATAAAACAAAATTTTGATTTTCTGGTATACCTTATATTTAAATTTAAAAATTATTTTTGGTTAATAAAATAATCTTGCTGCTGGAATGAATAATTCCATATGGCTTCGGAGAAAGAACTGACATTAATTTAAAAATACGGACGTTGGTTACTTGGTCATGGATGTGATTCTAAAGAAGAAGCTTGGTGTAATTTTGGTTGAGGTTAATATCTTTAAAATAATGGCGTTGGTCCTGGTTGTGGTCCTGGCTGAGGTTCCGGTTCTGGCTGTGGTTGTGGTTCTGGTTGAGGAGAGCCAGTAGGAGGGTAACTAGGGTGAGTAGGAGTGTGGCTAGGATGAGTATGGTGACTAGGATGAGTATGGTGACTAGGGTGAGTATGGTGACTTGGGTGAGTATGGTGACTTGGGTGAGTATGGTGACTAGGGTGAGTATGGTGACTTGGGTGAGTATGGTGACTTGGGTGAGTATGGTGACTTGGGTGAGTATGGTGACTTGGGTGAGTAGGGTGACTTGTAGGCTCAGCCACCGAACTTGTAGGCTGTTAAAAGAAAATATTAGGTAATTAATAATTATTTGCCATCTGTTTTTAATTAAATATTAGAACAAAATAGTTTTATTAATTTATAGGTTCGGTAATAATTCAGTGTTAATCGGTAGTACACCAGGAACGCAAATAATTATTGACGCTTTAACACATACATGTGTTAAGTACAATTTTGGGACAAATTGGGATAAATACATGTTCCTACTTATATGTGTACAAATAACTTCATTATTTTGCTTTATTATATAATCAGAAACAACGAAGAAGTGTTTGATAGATACATTTCATATGAAATAGCAGAGAGTTATAGCTTCAAAAAAATTGTGAAATATTGGCAAAATGTTACTTAACACATGTGTATACTAAACCATCAATATAGTCTTTGACCAGCAGTTCAATTATTATTGAACCTGCAATAGCTATTTATGTATTTAGTTACGAAATATCTTATTTTGTTCAATATGTGATTATATGCGGGACGAGCGCAGCGAGGTCCCACAATACAGCATTTAGCAACTTGTTACATACATTTTTCTAATTTTGAATAAATTTTTTTTATAATATTATGTTTGGTAAAAAATTACTAAAAATTAATTAGTTTTTTGTATCACCAATTGATGATTTTTGAAATCAATATTTGAATAATAACAATCGTATACTTTGTCACTGACATTTTTTGTCAGAGTTTGATAGTTTTCAATAAAGTGGGATATTTTGCATACATGGATTTAGAAAGTTTTAGTTTTTTCTTTATAGAGATATCTCAGTATCGTGAATTTATTGAGACTATCTTTCGAATATTTTATGCATGTTTAGGATGGATCTAGAGAGTTTAATATAATAATCGAACCAGAATTATTACTAATTATAAGTACACTGGCAAAAACTATTTTTATATAGCCACATAATAACTTTAAAAAACAATATGTATATGTACAGGGTGATTCTTTTATCATGGGAAATGAGTTTTTCTCGTAAATGGCTGCAGCAAATTGGGTTCTGTAAAAAGTATTTTATTTGGGCTGGTTATTGCTTGAAATTGGGATGGATAAGGAAGTTATAAATAAACGACGCTGGGCGTCGCGACGCTTTAATTTTTTTTTTGTCAGAAGTATACCATTTTTATTTCAGAAATTGAAAGATCTATTCAATAAAAACACTTTTTTTAAATACTATTTTTTTCCATCTAAAACCATTCAAAAATTACAGACCAGTTTTTATGTTCCAAATTTCTAGATTGCCATACAAAGAATGCATGGTATTTTAAATTTCACTAAATCAGGTAGGCTTTGAAAAAACATAATTGGCTTATATTGATTGATGTCTGAAACTGTCAGTGTAATTTCAATTATTCCTATTAAAATAGTGAGTAATAAGAAATATGTTTACACATTCAGATAAAGTTGACATGCTTCTTTTATACGGAGAAGCCCAAAAAAATGGTTTAGCTGCAAGAAGATTATATGCGGAAAAATATCCCGAACGCAACCTTCCAGACCACAAAATGTTTGCCAGGTTAGAAACTAGTTTACGTCAAAACCCTAAAGCATTTGAAGGTAGGTTTTGTGTTTTTTAATAAATCCCCATAAATTCAATGAGCCAAATTTGCAGGTAAAAGATCAAGAACAAAAACTGTCACGACGGATGAAAATGTGGCAATTATTTTAAATTATTTTAACAATCACCATGAAGCTTCTATAAGAGAGGCTTCAAGAGACTTAAATTTAAATTATAGTGTGATACAAAGAGTTTTAAAAAGCAACAAATACCATGACTATAAATTTCATAATTTGCAAGAACTTTCGCTTAGAGATTTTGAGAGGAGGAAGGATTTTATTTGTCAGTTTTTGGTGTCTTTGGATGACAATCCTAATTTATTTTCTCATATACTATGGACAGACGAAAGTCATTTTGTTAGTCATGGATTACCAAACAAAAAAAATACCCATTATTGGTCAGACGAAAACCCGCGCAAAATCAGACAACATCAAATACAGGGCCACTTTGGCATAAACGTCTGGTGCGGAATAGTCGGGCGGCACTTAGTAGGGCCATACTTTTATGAAGGCGCCTTGACGGGCCCAAGATACTTAGATTTTCTCCAAAATCACCTTCCTCTTTTGCTGGAACATGTGCCACTGCAAATCAGAAGAAACTTATGGTTTCAACTAGATGGAGCTCCTTGCCACAATGCGGTCATTGTTCAAAATTATTTGAATGAAGTCTACCACGGAAGATGGTTGGGGACACGGGCCCTTGAAATTTCCGCCTAGATCTCCGGACTTGACACCCTTAGATTTCTTTTTATGGGGAATTTTAAAAAATATAGTGTATAAAACAAAATCTAATAATTTAGATATTTTAAAACAAAAAATTATTGATGCGTGCAATGGAATATCTGGTGATGTTTTAAGAAAAGTTACATCTTTCGAAATAAGAAAGCGGTACAATTTATGTGTGGATAACGATGGCGCATATATCGAGCAATTGTTAAAATAAGATTTGTGAATTAGCAATTAATTTTTACTAAATACAGTTCATGTTATTCTTTAATGTTTTATGTATGTTTTATGGGTTGTTAGTGTAAACTTTGATTATTTCCTAAACAATTACATAAGTGTTATTAAATGTAGGAACATCTTGTAAATTGTTTTCTTTAAATCCTAAATTATATTTGTTGTCAATATCAGCATAAAAGTTAGCCTGCCTGATTTAGTGAAATTTAAAAACCCAGCATTTTTTGTATGGCAATCGACAAATTTAAAACATAAAAACTGGTCTGTAATGCTTGAATGGTTTTAGAGGGAAAAAAATGGTATTTGAAAAAAGTGTTTCTATTGAATAGATCTTTCAATTTCTGAAATAAAAATGGTATGCTTCTGACAAAAAAAAAATTGAAGCGTCGCGACGCCCAGCGTCGCTTATTTATAACTTCCTTATCCATCCCAATTTTAAGCATTAGCCGGCCCAAATAAAATACTTTTCACAAAACTCAATTTGCTGCAGCCGTTTACGAGAAAAACTCATTTCCCATGATAAAAGAATCACCCTGTACAGTAAGCCTGAAAAAGTTGACAATATTAAGTGGTAGGTAGATACAGAGAAAATTACATTTTTTTTTTTAATTTAAATGTATGAATCTAAACTTGGGCATAATTTTTAATTGCTATCAACATTTTCAAATAACATTTTGAACTGTAGTTAAATTTAAAAGCACTTTGTACTAAATCAATATTTTTTGTTTTCCATGTATTATCAACACATATTTTACAAATTTGATTCTTGATTCTGGATTATTGATTTTTATGTGATGCAGAATTTTTATGAAGAACTTTTGTTTGCAAAATTAATAATAAATAAATTTCCCATTTGTTGCCAACTTTATACTGATTTTAAAATTTAATATGGATTATTATACTCTTCACACAGTAGTCTGTGAAGAGTATTATTCATTCGTTTCGTCTGTCCGTCTGTCCGTCCGATGTCACGTTTTTTGTCCGCTCGATAAGTTAAAAATGGAAAACGATATCAGTTTGAAAACTTCAGAAAAACCTATTGATTTTGAAAAAATCTAAATAAAAATGGGGTGACGGGGGTTGAAACATTAAAAAAATTCCTAATTCAACAAGGAAAAATGATATCAACTTGAAATTTTTAGCGAAAATTAAGGACTATAAGGAGATAAAGCCTACTGATTTTGAAAAAAAAAATTGAATAAAAATGGGGGTTAAAGAGGATTGAAATTAAAAAAATTATAAATAATTAAAAACAAAAAACGATATCAACACGACATTTTTAGTAAAAATAAAACTGTATAAGAAGATGAAGCCTATTAATTCTGAAAAAATATCGGAATTAAAATGGGGTGTTAAGGGGGGGGGAGATGAAATATTTAAAAAAATCCTAACTCATAAACGAAAAATAATATCAAATTAAAATTTTTATTTAAAATCAAGCTCTATAAGTGGCGAATCCTATTGATTTTGAAAAAAAAATCTGAATAAAATGGTGGTTGAAAGGAGGATGAAATAAAAAAAATAGAAATTAAAAACCAAAAGCGATCATGATATTTTTAGTAAAAATCAAGCTCTATAAGGAAATGAATCCTACTGATTCTTAAAAAAAATCTGAATAAAAATGGGGACAAAGGGGGTGAAATAATAAAAAAGCCTATAAACTTAAAAAGGAAAAATGATAAGAACTTGAAATTTTTTAGTGAAAATCAAGCTCTATCTTTAAACAAAGCCTATTGACTCAGAAACAAGAAACGGTACCAAATTGAAATCTTTAGGAAAAAACAAGTTTTATAAGGGGATGAAACAAAAAAAAATCTGTGAAGAGTATAAAATAGAATACCAAGCATATAATATATCTACATTCTAGTTTTTATTTGTTTTCTATTCGCATCAACTGATGCCACAATGAACATAAATAATAATAGACGATTTTAACACTAGCTTCGATTAATAGTATATTATTTAACGAGCAGTTATGGAGGTCATAAATCACACAGATAAAGTTTGCAGCACAGCCGCAGGCGAGTGCTGTAATTCATCAAGTGAGTTATGACCATTACCGCAAGTTGAATACTATACTTTATTTACGACTATAAAAATAAATACTAAGATACAAGTATCGAGAATTATATAATTGACTAGATGATAAAAACGTTTGAATCTTTGTAAAAGCTATTACCTTTGTCGCCAGATATTTCTCATGAGGATTTTCATTTATGAAATTATTAAGTTGTTGTGGCATAAATGTTATTGCCTTTTTAGCTATATGTTTCTCTGATTGACGTTTAAGAAACGCACGTAATTTTGAATAATTCTCTATATTAATTCCGTTATTTATGTTAAGTGTGCTTCTTACAAGGAGTAGAAAGTCCATATAGACGATGCTTTATATTGATTGCTAAGTTCATTAAAATATGCCAAAAGTACATTTTTTGTAAACGAGTTACACATCTTGA